CGTGCATGTTGCAGTCAGAAGTTCCGATGGCGAATGGCCAGAGGCGCTCTTCTACCTTGATATCGCGCTGGACCTCAAACAGCTGTGCCTGTTCTGGCAGACGAATCTGTTCGGCTACTTCGGGCTAAATCTCGCGGGAATGGCCCTTCCACCGGTTTTTACAGCGTTGGAGGCATTGCGGTTCAGCGCTCGGCCTTCGCCAGAGCAGGACCAGCTGAAGAAGTTTCTGACACCCCAAATGGTGGTGCCAGTAATGCTCCTGTCCATCCTCACCCAAACCCACATGGTCCTCCTCGTCGCAGCCTCTGCCTTGTCACGAAGGACTCCTGGGCTGAAGAAGGGCACTGGAGGGCAGTTCTGGTTCTTGCAAGCATCTGCAGCTGCAGTCGCAAAGCCCGTCCCCGCTTGCCTCAGGAAACACCCACTCCTCTTGGGAGCCAAACATGCGGAGGCAGGGCCCAGCGGGAGAGTTTGCGGGACGGCTAAATGCGACGAGTTGTGCACAGGTCGCCGAGTCTGCGGTGTCCGCGCTGGTGCAGACCAACTTTCTCGTTTCGGCGTTGGGTGGCATCGCACAGATCGAGGCGCTGGAGCTTTCCGATGGCGAGCTGAGTAGCATGAAGCTTTCCGTCCTCGTCTCCTGCCTCAGCCTTGGCCTGGGATTCGCCAGCCGAGACAAGGCCGACTCGGCCGTTCTGGAGCTGACAGGAAAAGTGGAGTGGGGCCCGACCATGGGCGGACTGGTCCTGGCGCGGTCGCTCGAGGTCTTCAGCCGCATTCTCGCCTACAACTTCCTACAAGCGTCCCTCCGCGGCTTTCCGCTGCTGCGACTCGCTGGCCTCGGAGCAGTTGCACTCGCCTTCCTCGCAGCTTGCGTGGCCTTCCCGGACGCCTCCTGGGCCGATGCGGCGGCCGCTCGGCTCGGCTCGGCAGCTGCAAGCGCGGTGTAAACTCTAAAGAAAACACAACAATCATGTTTGTTGCGCAAGTGTTGGCACATGCGAGGCTGCCGTGATCGCCCATCCGGGACAGATTCTGGAACCACGGTCGCTGTTGAAGTTGCGGCTGCTCGGCGGTCGACTTCGGGCAGGGGGAGGGCGGGACGCAGCGAGATGCATTGGTGCTTCGTCGCGATATGTTCGGTAGCAGCTTTCCTCGTGGAAAATGAGCTGCAAGGTATTCGTTACTTATCCACTTCGCGCTGGTGGCTGCTGCCGGAGGAGGACAGTTGCTGCTGCGGACGAGCACGGCCCCGCCAGCATGTAAGGCCGGAGCATTTCCCATGGCTACATGCTGCAGTGCTGTCCAGTAAGTCATGTGAGGTTTGATGCAATCGGGCACTGCATACCGCACGCTGGATGCAGGTCCTGCCGGACATGCTGCTGATTGCATGGTTCGTGCCGGGCTTACTTGTCCAAGGTCGTCTCGTTACGATGTGGGCCGGCGTGCCCTGGCCCCTGACTCGCCGAGGTGGTTAGCCTCGTCAGCTGGGCAGCGCTTGGCCTCCTCAGTCGCTCTGAGTGGTTTCGATATTTGTTTGGAGCGTGCGTGCCCTGGCACGCGACCAGCAATGCGGGAAGCTTCAGGCTGGCTTGGCGGCCACTACGTGGACCAGCCGCGCTTTGTGGCTTTGGCATCAGGCGCCCTCGCCAGGAAACAAGCACGGATGGCCGCCAGCAGATCAGACGCGCCGCCGTTGTCAGGAGGCGACGAGCCTGTCATCGCCTATTCATCGCTACTGGCCGCCTTCCCCAGCTCCGACGGCCAGGCACAGTGCGCAGATTGCGGGAGACTGAAACTACCACGGACGCCTTCAGGTGCCGAAGGCGGTCCTGGCAGCCTTGCAGGGCAACTTTGCAGTTGACTTGACCTCAGACGCCGCGGTGACTCGGATGCGAAGTTGCGCGAGCTTGGAGAGCACTGTTTGGGTTGGGGGAAAGGCGTGGCGGGATGCTTACAAGCATCTTCAAGCTGTGATGAGCGACTCTCGGACTCTCTCAACTCCAGAAACAGAAAAAGCACCCTGCCTCGAGGCCCACGGCTTGACGCAGCAGGGCCTCGAGAGGATCCTGGCGTCCGGCGCCGACGTGCTCTTCCATCGCCATGTGCTTGAGAGCCTGGGCTTCTTCTCCCAAGAGGCGGTGGTCGATCTCCTCGCCGCGTCGCAGCCCACCACGCTGCACCTTCTTGGTTTCCTGAAAGTCCCGGCAGCGTCTTGGGAGCGCTTGGGCGCGAGCCTGGCCCGGCACGGGGAGCGCCTCCGAAAGGCGAATCTCTTGGGGCCCCTCGGCCCTTCAGAGCTGCTTTCGCGCACGAGCGGGGCGTTTCGGGGCCCCTTTTTCCTGCTGCGGCGGGCCCTGAGCCGAGCCGAGGTGTTTCTTCGCTTCTGGCGAGGGCTCCAGGGCGCTGCTGGCCGGGCTGGCGCGCTGCCGGAATGTGAAGGACCCGCAGACTTCCGAGAGCTGCTCCGAAGTGGAGAGCTGCTGCGCCACATGATCCCTTTAGAGAGTGTATACCGGGCACTTCCTCTCACGGAAAGCCGCAAGCCGCGCCCACGTTTTGCGGGACCCGGGTTGGGGGGCGCTTCTTTTCCCAGGAGCTGGTCATGGACAATTGCAACGCAGTCCCGGCCGAGGCCTGGGCAGAGCTCCGAGCTGCGGAGTGGCCGGAGCTCCGGAAGGCCAGCTTCGAATGGTGTCTCGGCTTGTTGGCGGGAAAGGGGGATGCGCGTCGGAGACCGAGGAGAGATCGTGTGAGAGGGAAGGCGTTTTTTGCAGAGCATTTTCTCAGTGGGGCAAGGTGTTTCTCTTCCTCTCTCCGCAGCGGCGAGGGCTCGCAGGACCTGCTGTCGGCTCTCGGCCGCTCCAAGCAGCTGGAGGCCTCTCATTTCGGGCACACATATAGTGGGCTATATGGGCAGCTCAGAGACAAGAACCACGCCTCGACTCTCGGTTTCGCTTTTTGCTTCTGCTTGCTTTTTCCGAACAGTCGGCAGCTTTTTTTTCAGCGGCGGCCGCCAGGACTTGAACCTCCAGTATTGCAAAGAGATCCCCGAAGCGGCCTGGAAGCTGCTGGATGACGGCACCTGGCCTCGCCTCCGGGTTGCAAAAGGCGTCCCGGAGGAGCACCGGGAGAGGCTCCGCGGAGCTTCTTTGGACATCGAAGCTGCAGGCGAGTGGAGGATGGAGCGCGGGAATTGGGGGCCGACTGCAAGCTGCGCTCGTTTTGTCTTTGCTTCTGGTTTTGGGTTCCGCCACGTCAGTCGAGCGATCTGCAGCTCACGGAGCGACCGCGAAGTCATTGTCGCAAGTCGCATGATGTGCAGCTACAGGAAGTAAGGCTGAGTGGGAATGTACAGCGCATGGATGCATGGATGGATGGATGCATGCATGGATGGATGGATGGAGGGAGGGAGGGAGGGAGGGATGGATGTCTGTCTGTCTGTCTGTCTGTCTGTCTGTCTGTCTGTGGAATTGCGGCCTGTTATGACCGAAAGCATCCGCCAGAGCTCGAAGCCGTGATGCTGTTCGATTCAAGAACGCGCGAGCATCTTGCGAAGGCATTGTCTGCAGATCATCTGAACACAGCACGCTTCCGATCGACGCAGGCGAGGCGGCAAGCTCCACGGAGCTGCAGGAGCACGGGGCCAAGCAGGTGCCGATGCACCCGGCTTTCGTCACCTCGGTGCTGATGCCGAATGCAGCACTGGAAGTGCAGCAAGATGGCAGCCTGCTGCCGGCGCTGGCCCACTGTCCCGGCGTAGAGGACGCCGCGGCAGGTTGAAGGGCCGGTAGTACATGGTCCACTATTCGATGTTTCATTTGCACGAGGGTTGACGTGCGTCGTGTATGAGTGTTGCTTTACGCACCGAGCTGGCCCCCCCTTGCCCAAGAGGGAGTTCGCATGTCAAGCACCCAAGATCCCTCCGGCCCTGAGGGCGGGCGGACAGCAGAGAAATGGGGGAGGGAGGAGAGCAGAGAGGCATCTCCGACAAGCCTCGCGGCCAGGAGCTGATTTTGGATTGTTGCGAAGACATCCCCGCCGCCGTGTGGGAGAAGCTCGGCGGCCAGGGTGAGGCGTTCCCGCAGCTCAGGAAGGCGAGCTTCGCACTGCGCCTTGGAGAGCAGACTGCTTTGCGGCTCTCCCCTTGCTGCAGAAATGTGGGACGAAAAAGACTGCGCTTTTCTCGTGCGAGGTGCTTCAGCAACAGGTCCGAAGGCGCCGAGGGGCTGCTCTCAGCCCTGAGCCGCTGCCAGCACCTCCAGGACGCACGAGGGCGCGAGTTCGATTCTGCTTGTAGCTTCAAAGCTTCAAAGCTTCGGATGCGGGGCGAGCGGAGGCGGAGAAGTTCAGGGTGCCAGGAGGGCCTGCGACCTGCGAAGGCGATTTTCGCTGTTGGTGTGGATGGTGGATGGTCTTTCGAAGCTTCCGACACATCCAGGAAGCGAAAGCCATGAAAAGCTTTGCAACCGAGAAGCAACGAACAGTGGGAGCCGTTGGGCCTCGCGGGGCTGGGGCCGAGCGCGCCCGGACTTCTGGCCATACTACGATACTAAAACAAAGAGCTCAAGAGGTAAGTTGCCATTCGTAGAAGACTGGAGGGAGAGTCGATCGTTTCGGTTTCAGAGGAAGGTGTCGCCCAAGCTGAAGCGAATGCAGTGGCTCACGAACGTTTCAAGGGAGTGTCTTTTTCCTTGTGTGGGGAGTTGGATCCTTGTTCGCAAGAAGATGTCACCAAGCAGGTGTGCACCGTGACTGCCCACCCCCGCCAATGCGAAGAAGGGAAGCGTCCTCACACGCGGGCCAGGAATAATTCCCTCGTCCAAAATACCGCATCATCTCTTCCTAGCTTCAGCTGGTTGTCTTCTGAGCCGGCTCGAAGGCTCGAGGCCGCTGTCCGCCATCTTCGCAAGTCCTCTTCGAGTCTCATAGCCGCGGTATTGCCCGCGAAACAGGCGGAGGAAGAACCACTCCTATACCTGGCCGGGCAGGAGCTCGATATGGGCTGGTGCAGGGAAATCCCGGCTGCGGCGTGGCAGCGGCTAGTGGACGGGGCGAAGTGGCCGAAGCTCACGAAGGTGAACTTCGAAGAGCGCCTCGGAGGGCAGCTCCGGAGTTCTGGGGGTGCAGAGGTTTTGTGTACACGTTGCTACACAGAGAAGCCTGCAGTTCTCGACGTTCTCATGCCAGGGTGTTCCAGCCCGAGGTGCTTCGGCAGCGAGTGCAAAGGCATCGAGGCTGCGGCCGGGCTCCTCGCCTTCCTCGGCCGCTGCCCCGAGCTGAAGGACGCGCCCACCCGCCTTTGAAAACAGGTTTTGCGATATTGGTGATTCAGGCCTGCTTTGAGCTTCAGACTTTCAGAACCTTGGGTCCGGACATTTCACTCACACATTATTTGCATCATCTCTTCCTAACTTCAGCTGGTTGCCCATGTCGCGCCCGCCAAATTCGGAAGTCCAGCTCGGGTCATAGCCGGGAAAGCCTCCTCTCCCCGGTGTTACCATAAACAGGCGGGGGAAGAACCACCGAACCGGGCGGCCAGGAGCTCGGCTTGAGCGGTTGCAGCGAAATCCGGGCTGCGGCGTGGCAGCAGCTGGAGGGTGCCAAGTGGCCGAAGCTCACGAAGGTGAGCTTCGACAAGCGCCTCGGCGAGAGCACCTGTTGGAGTGTTCGGGCATCCTCTCGTGGAGATGGTTGTTGAGCCACGTGAGGTGGGACGGCACGGAGTTCTCACTCAATTCCAGCCCGAGGTGCTTCGGCAGCGAGTCCAAAGGCATCGAGGCTGCGGCCGGGCTCCTCGCCTTCCTCGGCCGCTGCCCCGAGCTGAAGGACGCGCCCACCGGCCATTGAAAGCAGATTGTGTGATATTGGTGATTCAGGACTGTTTTGAGCTTCAGACTTTCAGAACCTTGGGTCCGGACATTTCACTCACAAATTATTTGCATCATCTCTTCCTAACTTCAGCTGGCTGGTTGCCCATGTCGCACCCGCCATCTTCAGAAGTCCAGCTCGGGTCATAGCCGGGAAAGCCTCCTCTCCCTGGTGTTCACAGACTTCGCACTGGCGGGGGACGAACCACAGACCGGGCGGGCAGGAGCTCCAAATGCGCGACTGCAGTGAAATCCCGGCTGCGGCGTGGCAGCAGCTGGAGGGTGCCAAGTGGCCGAAGCTCACGAAGGTGAGCTTCGCTTGGCGCCTCGGCGAAAGCACCTGTTGGAGTGTTCGGGTATCCCCTCGTGAAGATGGTTGTTGGGCCATGTGAGGCGGGAGCGGTGCGAGCCTTTAATCAAGGTGGTAGACACATAGGTTCGGCCATTTCACGGGAAGCTCCTGGTCTGAGAAGTTGTCTTCGATACCAGCCGAAGCTCCAGATTCATTCGGCACGGATTTCTCACTCAATTCCAGCCCGAGGTGCTTCGGCAGCGAGTCCAAAGGCATCGAGGCTGCGGCTGGGCTCCTCGCCTTCCTCGGCCGCTGCCCCGAGCTGAAGGACGCGCCCACCCGCCTTTGAAAGCAGATTGTGTGATATTGGTGATTCAGGACTGTTTTGAGCTTCAGACTTTCAGAACCTTGGGTCCGGACATTTCACTCTCTCTCGCAGGACCTTGGAGCCCCGAGGGGCGCGTCCGTAAATTCAACTTGCAGAGGTGAAACGAGGTCTGCCATCCCAAAAGCCGCCTGCGGTAGTCCGTTCGCCTTCTACGGACCTCGCATCGACGTATTCCTGTACAAAGCGAACATACGCTGGATCGGGATGGAAAAGCTTGGCGAGGGTGAGAAGCGAGATGTCTTCACCTTCAACTGCCACTCTTTCTGCTGCTGTCAGCTGTGCAGGACCAAGGGTTTGGAGCGGCTTAGTTATGCAAGAAAACTTCTGCCACTGGCCGTGACTGACAGCTTTACGCCTTGCCTTATGTAGGTGTTCTACATCAGCCAACTCCTGGGGGGTCAGCGGAGCAAGAAGCCAGACGGTGCGGAGCAGACAGGCTGGCGAGCTTTTCAGGTGGTACTGCAGCCGTTCCACATTGCTGTAGTGCCTAAGGCAGGCAACACACGTGTCGGAATGCGCCAAAGCCCTCGTGGGTGTAATGACATTGTGCTTTCGAGCGTAGTGTACCCACAAATGCTTACGCAAAGGGAAGGCAGCTTGACAGAGGTGGCAAGAGAAGGGCAAGGCAGGCGGGGGGGCGTCGATCTGGTCTGCAGCTTCACCTGAAGCGGCAGTCTCCGCGGATCTGGCCTGCTCCCAGTGTTCCAGATCTTGGTGCCATTTGGCAGCTGCCCCTTTAAGGACTTTGGTCCACCAGGTGGGTTGCTCCTGCAGTTTCTCAAGCAGCACGTGAAGTGGACGGCCAGTGGAAAGGAGGACCTCAGCAACAGGATTATACTGTGCGACGTGTCGGATGTCCTTAACGATCTGGCCAAGCCAGGAAGAGTCAGCCTCAACTTCCCACTGCTTCCACAAGAGCTGACGCAGAGTTGGCGGGCCATGGCCAACAATCTGGCGTAGCAGCGCTGCTCGGGCCAAAGCCAGGGCAAGTGGAGGGGAGGGGGCTGCGGCACGTAGGAGAACCGTGTAGGCGTGTGGTGTCTTTTCATGCGGCTGTCGCCGCAGCAGCACCCGCCATAACGCGACATAGGCCTGGGCCCAGGTGCGAAAGTGGATTGCGACATGAAGGCGAAGCACGGCGCAACCGAATACAAATCTGGAAACTGCAAGAGAACGAAGGAGGTGACGACGTATCTCTAAAGGTATACCAGCAGCCGAGAAAAGCCTGGTACGGAAGGGCCGAACGGGTATCCAGGCCTGAGCCGACCTAAACCCTATTTCTGGGGCCGGAGTCCCCGAGCTGGTTACGATGCCCCCTAAGTGACGGTATGCGTCAACCAGAGGGAGATGAAAGGGTTCCCCAGAGACCGCGCTATGCCCCATCAGGAAAGGTCCTCCGGGTCCATGCTGTATGAGAGAGCGATCTGGCTCGGGGACCTCCTCAAGCTGCAGCATGGCGGCAGTCTTCTCCCTGGCAAAGGTCAACTGCATGCCTATGGTATCCGCCCTTTCCACATAAACCGTGACTATCCGCACTAGTTGGGGTACCAGGCCAGCATTGTCAGCCTGTTCGTGAAAGTGCACAAAGTCATCTGCCCAGGCCCCGGCACCTAGGCTAGAGGGTACGGGTTCCTTGCCCCATGGAGGGGTGGAGCAAAGAGCGGGGGTTGCTGTGGCTAACCCGCGTTCCGTAAGAGCAACGTCTGACGCGCGGAGATAAGCCGCAAAGGCAAATGCGAAAAATACATCAGCAAGGCTATCTCCGGGTCGTGTCCCTACATGCGTGAGGGTAAGCACAGCAGAGGAATCTATCCTAAACCATGTCCCCTGCATAATGTCTGACGCTATTGCCGTCAGATGTGGGCTAGCACCTGCTCTGGGAATCGCTGCCAGTCGTGAGAGGTGGTCCGCAAGCTCATGCAGTGCCACTGGGGGAACTCCCAGGACGTGGAAGAACTTACGGATATGACGGTCGTCATCGCTGGCTGGCGCGACAAGCTGGCGGATAACTCGATAGAACGCAGCCTTGACATCGTAAAAAACCAGTCCCCAGGACCGTCGGCGTGCTTGCGCCGTGGCTTGAAAGACCCGGGCTGCAAGGGCGATGGCCTCGGTCCCTATCCCTGGAACGGCCCCGGCTTGCAAGTCTTCGGCCGGGAGATGATTGCAAAGGCAGCTCCTAATATGGCGGTGGTAGAGCTTGCCCGGCACGGAAGACAAGAGTATAGCCCGGAACTTGCTACATTGAAGTGCCGCATGCGCCTGTTTCGCGAGCGGTATGAGACAACCACCCCGGAATTCTAAGGGTTCTTGTAGACCCATGGCAGACTTAAGAAAGAGAGGAGCTAGAACGCGTGCGGAGGCCGCAGGGGAGAGCTGCAGTAACTCTCCTGTCAAGCCGTCAGGTCCACAGGCTTTACCTCTCTTAAGTCCCAACACCAGTTGCTCGATGGTGGAGAGTGTAGCAAGGGTATTAATGTCGAAAGGGGGCGTAACAGCCGTCACCTTACGTTGTTGGGCAAAGCGGGCCGGGTAATCCTGAGCATCAATGGGCTCACCATCCTCAAGTGCCGCAAAATGCGCACGCCACACTTCATGACGACTATCCCTATCGACCGCGAGCTCTCCGTTGGCATCCTGAATGGCAGGCACTGGCTGGAAAGTTTGACGTCGCTGTGCCGAAGCCGCAGGGAAAGCCTTGCGGACAGCCCGGAAAAGGTTCTTAGGGTCGCGTATATCAGAGGCAGCGACGCGTTTCACGAGGGAATGCAGGTACTCAACGCGGTCTCGCTTAATGAGGCGGCGGATATCCGCCCCAGCCCGGTCCAATTGTTGAGTCAGGGTGGCAATCTGTTGCCTAGATTGCGCAATCCATTGTGAGGCCTGTAGGCTAGCCTGGGGGTGAAAGGCTGTGCCATACCTATTATGGAGTAGCCCTGCGAAACCAACAAGTAGGTATCGTCTGGTGAGTTCTCGGTGTGTGTGAGCCAGCTGGGCCCTCAGAAGGCGCCGCTGATGCACCAGTGCAAGGGTATCTTGCTGTATGTACGCCTGACGGGGTCTGGGCTGGTCAACAACATCTAGGTGTGTACTGGCGGCCGCCCATGCGCTGCTCAGGGCAGCAAAATGGTCGTCAACCTGTGCGTCCCATTGCATATCCGCGCTGTGGGTGAACGTAGCCAAGGCGCAGAGATATCCTGTATTGGGCCGACTGGCAACAGGCCGGACGGCCTTGCGCCGGAAGGTGGAAAAGTCGGCGTCGGGACTGCGTCCAGTAAGACTACAAGTCAGCTGCACAGGATAGTGGTCAACACTAAGTTGCAAACTTTCGAACTGATAGTGCACGGTAGGAGAGACACTGTCGAGAGGCCACTGCTGTGGCACGGCAATGTAATCCAGTCGATGGCTCGTGCCGGAGACTGTGACCCAAGTATGCGAAGGGCCGGCATGTACAGACGGGAACGTGGCTGGTAGGAAAAGCTCGTGCTCTGCCAAGAACTCATGGAATGCGGTGCCGGAGGCTGTCTCAATCTCCGGTGCAACACTACCCACAGAGGCCGAGCAGTTGGACCCCAAGTGGGCATTGGCGTCTGCCAAAACAATAAGCTCAGAGTGCTTAGGTTTTTTGGCAAGGTCACGTCGGCACATGTTCCAGAAAGCAGCAGCAGTGCCGGAGGCAGCGGGAGGCTCAGATGGCCCATGGCACACTAAAACAGTCCAGCACAGGTGGGGAGCATTGAGCTGGACGATCAAGTGGCGGGGCGAGTAGCCCGTGACAGTACAATGGTCTTTTGCAAAAAACCACTTCTTTTTGCCACAGACTGCATAGGGCACATTGCGGCTTATCCAGAGTGCGACGCCGTGGTGTCCATCTGCACTTGCAGCCGAGTGGATCATCCAGTAGTCGGCATCAGGGAGAACTTCTGTTGAACTGATTCGAGTCTCCTGTATACCACATAACAAAATGCCAAGTTGCTCTAGCTGTCGTTTAAGTAGGCAACGTTTGGCTGAAATTTTTAAACCTTCCTGACGTGCATTCTTACCAGGCCTACTGGGATCCATGAGGGTAAGAACATTATAGGACAGAAAGGAGATGGCCTGGACCAGAGGCTCACCCACCTCGGTGGCGGTGACCTGTCCCAGTTGGGGGCCACCGGCAGGAAGTCGGGGGTGTGCCTGCATTCTGTAAGCTTCACTTTCCAAGGAGAAAAGCGTCGGGACATTCGGGCTATGCCGGCCAGCCAGCCAGAGCCACGCCTTGAGAGGGTGTCGGAAGATCGCACTGGGCCAGGTAGGCAAACAAAGCTCCGAAGGCGGCAAACCATGTCGTCGGCAGTATTTCGACAACTCATCGCAGAGCTCGTTGCCGACCTCCCCACTGTGCCCAGGCACGTGGCTGTGTGTGAGTGACACTCGCTGTTCAGCGGCTTGACGGATATAACAGGCAAAGTGTGCCAGGTCAGGACTGCCAGTGTGTGACGTGCCTGTGGCAACCTTTGACTCAGCAAACGTACCCCTTCCTGCAGAGGTACAGTCATACCGAAGCTCGATAGGAACCTGGTACCCGGGGCCGTACTCGAAAACCCAGCTCAGGGCCCAAACGAGAGCTAGGGTTTCGCAAGTAAGAGGCATGTCATTGCCTTCCCCAACGAAGAACGGACTATCAGGAGCCTGTGTAAGGGCCATGGCGTGCCCAACCAGGCAGTGTCCTTGTGGGATCTGCGCCCAGACAGAGAAGGCCCAAGAGCCACATGTAAGTGTGCCATGTTCGGGCTTCGCTCCTGGTGCCGACCCGTCAGTATAGACGACGAGGGCCTGCAGCAAAGTGTGGTCGGGCATGAGATGCCATGACTGGATGTTGGCGAACTGAGAGCGCTTCGCCGAAGGCACTTGAACATCGGCGATGAGAAAACTGAGGTCACTATCTAACCAGTCAGGTG